GCGATTAAAAAATCCTCGTTATATTATTTGTTTTGCATACGTGGCAGACTTAATTTAATGAATTTTCATTAACATTACATAATTTATTTCTTTTTCCTTAAAATCAGTTCCGTTATATTTCACTCACAATTAGCTTATTCTGTTTAGTATAAAACATTGAAATGTTGAACCTGATTTCATTTCTTTTATTTTAATCTAAATATAACCCCTCGAATCCGAACTTTGTAACGACTTCTTCATATCTGGAAGGATATCTTAGTCCGGTTGTCAGGGAATCTACTGTATCTACGAAATATTTTAACAGGGGATGGACAAAGCGACACCGAAAATCGAAGGCCCATTGGTATAGCGAAAGATACCTTCCAAAAAGTTAAGCAATTAAGTAACAAGAAAATTTAATTGAAATCAAAGAAAATTTCACTGAAATGTTATGTAATGTAGACACTCTTATATTGTAGTAAATGCTGGACAATCTCGTCACAGATCGATAAGAGTTAATAAAATGGTGGCTTTACAGAAGGATACTAAGAATGCCATGGATTGAACATGTGAGCAATGAGGAATGTTTAGAGGAAATGGAAGGCTTTTACTTAAGATCATAAAGTGAAAGTTGGTATTTCTTGTGCACATAATGAGGAAAGAAGGAATAGATACTACTAATACCAACCTATATGAGAGTGACTCGTGGAGACTTATCAGGATAACTGTCTCGACTGACATGAAGACGAAAGATTATATTGAATCAATTGCTAGGTCTTCTGCTAAGAAAGTTGGTTCACTGTATCGAGCTAGACAATTTTCTCGCCAGAATCTATCTTACATATCTATAAGTCAATCATTCGTCCACGCTTAGAATACTGCTGTCACATATGCTCCAGTGCTCCTGCTAGATATTTAGAGATCCTTCTTAAAACCCAAAGAAGTATCAGCAATTTTATAGGTACTGATATGGCCTCTCGGCTTCATTCACCTTCCTATCACCATAATGTTGTCTCCTGGTGGATTTTATAAAAAAAATACTTCCATGTTAACTGTTTGGATGCGCCCTTCGCTATGGCACCTCGTTAACTAGCCACTCGTCTTCGAGTATACCTGTCTACTAGGGCGTCTAGCCAATCCCTATTGCAGACGCACGCTCAGATATATTTGTTTTTAATCAACACCCTCAGAGCCCACCTGTGGTTCATACTGCAAATATGCTGAGGAGTGCCTTAGTTACAGTTTTTGGGAAAGAGCGTGTTATCTAGCGTGATCAGCAATTTGAACAAAGCCAGCCCAAACAAGCCCTCGGCCACGATTACTTGGGACTTTGTGCTAACATAGCTATCGAAGGTACTCAAGGGTTCCGTCTACCAAATTTCACTCACAGGGCTTTGGCCAACCAGTGGTATGGTTTTCATGCACTTTCCAGTCGGATAACATTAGGAAGTGTCTTTACTGACAAATCGACCATGGTGAGATTCGAACCCGTGTCACATGGTCAGAATGCGAACGTTCTAACTACTAACATTCTAACCACTCGGCCACGTGCTATGGCACCCACATTCTATGAATTAAGCGTACTAGACTGGTGACAAGGTTTCATCAGTTTACAATTGAGTTGGCTAGATATAACAGTACGTTTTATACGAACAGTTTCGTTTCTTGCACTTCTTGATGAAAGAAAACACTTCCGACTCCATGCTTTCCAGAAAACTATAATCTTTTCAAACTGAAATGCAATGCCAATCGCTATCTACTGTCGCTTTGATTGATCTTCTATTTTTCTCGCTCGTTAGAAATGTTTCTGCTTTCTAATTCTCCAACGCGCCGTAACTGCTTGTGAATTGCTTGGGCTGAACTCGATTAAAAAACAATTAAAAAATAATTAATACGTTTCTTCACTCCTACATTTCTTAGATTACAATCTTATTTAGTCAAGCCTTTCAAGTGAGGCTCGCAGATACCTTTTGTCTATCAAGTGGTCGTCCTGCTTCAATTTAGTCTTGAAATAGGATTTGTCGTCACAGACTTTGTTGTTCTGAGAGTTATTTTTATTTCACTGTTATATTAAAGACATGATTTTTTAATACTATAAGCTTAGGTTGTGTAAAAAGACAAATAATAGCAGTAGTAATCAATGAATCATAGATACCGTTGAATGTCTATAACATATAAAGAGGAATTATTAATTAAACAGTTCATTGGCCTCTATTTTAGTTACGAACTCTCACAAAACATAATGAAGTCTTCAGGGATAATTGGAACGTGTTTCTCTAAATGTTTGACAAAACGGGGATTTGTATATATAAGAAAAAAGACAAATTTTACTTAGGGCTACAAACATCACAGAATTGTGGTGAGCTATGTATGATCGGCAATGCCCTGAAGGGACACGGCATATGGAAGAATTTGGCATGAAAGTAGGAAGTCAGGAGAGAGTTCCAGAAGCGAGAAATGCAATAGAAGAAACTATTAGCAGATAATTTAATTTAGTTAAATGATGAGACCTAGCTGCCAATCCAGTACTGCGCTTAAATTCGTAAAGGCAAGATATCAACAAGGAAATATAATCAGAATAATTACCGTGAAAATATCTATCTATAAAATAAAGGGGAGTGACGTTAAGTGGGTGGGGACTGAAAACTAAATGCCTGGCCAGGAAAGATAAGATTGCTGATTCTTCGTTACTTTTTGCAAACTCCTGATTTTATAAAGCGTGCAACGATCTTCAGCCTGTTGTGTAATGGTAAATGAGCTAACCTATCAAATCACCAAGACTCGATCATTCGTTACCTTTCAATTCATTGTTCTGTACAGTGCATTTGTTTTATTTTTTCCTTTCGTCAATGATTTCTGTTCATCATTAATGAGCGTTTCTTTTTTTTTCTCATTTTTTTTCTTTTAATCCTTATCGACTTTGTCTAGCATCATTTATCTTAATTTATATACTATTTCTGCTTGATAGGTCTCAAAGCAATATGCATATATATATATATATATATATATATATATATATATATATATATATATGCATATAGTGATATATATGTGTGTGTGTGTGTCTGTGTGAGTGTGTTTGTGTGTCTGTGTGAGTTTGTGTGTGTCTGTGTGAAGATTATGATGTTTTTTTTATTCTTGAAATGATAACATTCCTTAAGTTTTTAAAATTACAAAACAATATACAGCCATTAATATTTTAAACGTACTTTTTGTAAGTATTTTTTTTTTTTTACATATAT